AATTTTTGAAAATTTTCATATTCTTTGAAAAGTTTCCAGACCAGTTATGCTTATAGTGATATTACATTTTTGGCACAAAACAGTCTTTCTGACAGTGTTCACTCTTGATTTCGACACTTTTGTTAGTTTAGTAAGCTTCAGTTATGAAAGTATGCAGTTCTTTTAATGGTTAAGATAAGATATTGAACCTGTTAGGAATTTTAGACAGAAGAACGTTGCCTTAAGAGAATCAGGCGAAAAATTCGAAATAAACGATCAGCACAAGAAAGCAGACGACGGAAACAGGAGTATATTGAAGCTCTTGAAGCAAGGTTCAAAGCTTGCACTAAGGAAAACCACGAACTTAGGATGCAGATGGAGATTTTAACGAAAAATAACAGGTTTTTATATTTTTGGCGCTTTATTAAATGGATGTTTACTTTTGCTTTATAGGCGCCTTATAAGCCAGTTAAAGAAACTACATGCCACCGTGAACGATGGACGGCGCTCAGCTCAAGCTGGAACTTGTTTAGCTGTATTAGACTTTTTTTCTGTATCACTGCTAATTTTTCTCACCACAGGTACTGTTTCTGTCTGTTGCCTTGTTGGTTGCTCCAAATTTCAATCCTTTGAACAAAAAAAAGTGGATTTCTCAAGGTGTTCATGAAGCAGTCGAAGACAAACAAGCCCTGTGGCCTTCAGCAACAAACGGTATGCGCTTTTAGTTATTTAATGCGTTTTTATGAATTGCTGGCTTTTTCGTGATTCGTTGTCTTAATTTTTATTTGACCTTGACAAAGAATTTGTGTAATGCACTTAAATTGACGTTAGTAGTTAGTGGTTGACGTTGTTTTTGATTTTTTTGTTAGTTGATTTCTTGTTGATTCTGAGCATTCTACATATGGTTAGTGCCTTTCTGAACCCTTAAATATAATTGTACACTTCTGAAAGGTGAATGTCATTTCTTGTGATTTGCACGGCGTAGTTGACCACCTTCTTACATATAGCGGTCTTTGAGGCCATTTAAGCAGGCCATGGTCCAGTGGTAGCTATGTGGTTGGATGCAGCCCGTGTTTGTAGAAAAAAATCTTTTCGTGACAACCACATATTTGTCAGTTTACTTATAAAGATTAATTTTCGCTACTGTCGGTATGAGTAAGAAATGCACACTACCGATCAGTTTCGCACCTTGAAGAGTCCAGTTTTGAAAAGAGATATCTTTAGCTTTGAATAATTTTTGGCGCACCTTTCAGACAGGTATTAATACACAGGCAAACGAGGGCCTAGTAATTAAAAGTTTTCGCCTTTTCCCGTGACAGAATATGCTTCGTCAGATTTGCTCGGTGTAATTACACTTCGCTTGCTTTTAGAGACTTCAGTGCTCCCTCATATTTCTAGGAGTTATGCCATTCAGATCAGGGAAAGTGTTTATCCTGTAACCGATATTGGAAAAAAACTTTTATTACTAATCCCTCATTTGCCTGTATGAAAGTTGTCTTCAGACATTGGATAGCCAGATCTATAATCGATATCAGTAATGGTTTTTTCAAGGTACTAAATTATTCGGGAGAAAAGTCTTCTTCGCAATTTCTTTAACATTTGCTAAATAGCTGGTAGCAATCCAAAAGTTTTGAATTTTTTGCACGATCTAGGGCAATCAAGCATATCTCCTACCATGCCATTATAAACACAGTGTCCATAGTTATGTTTCACCCAACATTTGCTAAGCGTAATGTGATCCCCATAACTGCGTAAGTAAAACTTTATGACTAGAATCTGAAGCTTTTCCTGTTATCAGCAGAGGCTGTATTTCATGAGAGCATCAGTTGCTTCGGTTTCACTCATTTATTTTTGAACTGCTGTATAAGCCTGCTTGCAGGGGAAACAGTCATGGAGCAAGGGCTCGTTTGCACTCTAATGCTTTTAATGAAGCTGTAAGCGATTTACTGTCGATGAAAAATATTAAATTTACGTTTGCGCTTTGTGCTGATTTTTAGTTAGCTGTCCGATGGGATCAAAGGCGAATTGTAGCCGTTCAGCATACGCATAGAACAGCATGCCCGTATATATATCTTGTTTTGGCATATCACACTAAAGTATCAGACTGTATTATATGTAGCTCAGCGACCTGATAACCGTTTTTCGTCCAGTCCACAGTGGGGTGAAATCCTTGCTCAAGGCAATTAGCAGTTAATAAGAGAAAATTGCCTCTGCGAGTTGCGTTTGAACTCGTACTCTAAAGTGCAATGCAACGTACTTCGCCACTGTTTCCCAGAGCAAATTCTTTTG